CAGGCACCTGCACGTTGACCGACTGGAGGAAGGCACGCAGCACCTCAGGGTCCCCGTCGGCGTTGGGGATCCAGGACGGTGAGCCTGGGGCCGCGGCGCCAGGCGCGGCTGCGGAGGCGGCCGCGCCTCCGTGGCCCTGGCTCGCTGCCTGCTGCTGCGCCGCCGCCTCGGCAGCGCGACGCCGCTGCTCAGCGCGGTGCTCCGCCTCAGCCGCGCGCACCTCCTCCAAGCAGCCGTGCAGCCTCGTCGCCAAGTCACCTGACCCGTCGAAGGCGGCGAGCAGCTCACCCAGCCTGTCCACCGTGATCTCTTCGGATGCGACTGGCAGCACCTGCGACAGCGACGGCGTCTCGCCCTCCTGCGGGCGCGGCACCTGCGCCACCAGCTGGCGGCGCTCCTCCTCGAGCTCCAGGAGCTCGGCGACGAGGCGGTCCAGCGCCGCCGATGCCTCGACGACCGCCGCCTCGGCCGCGCGCACCTTCTCACGCAGCGTGACGAGGTGCTCCTCCTGCTTCGCCTTGCGCTTCTCCAGCTTCTGGTGCTGGAAGGAGATCTCCTTGAGACGTGTGTCCAAACTCTTGCCCGCCACGAGCCTCTTGCGAAGCTCACCTTGGCGCGCTCTGAGCTTCTCACGGGCCTCGACCAGCTCAGCACACGACGCGCTCTCCAGCGCCGCGAGGTGGGAGCCCACGTCCGCCAACTCTCTCTTGAGGTCGGCGTCGGGCCCCTTCCTTGCCAGGGCTGAGCTCGTCGATCTCCATGGCGTCCACCCCGCCGCTGCCTGGTACCTGCTGTTGACTCTTGAGCTTCGCCAGCTCTGCCCGCAGCTTCTTGATCTCTGCCTCGTGACCGCCCGCGCTGCCTGCAGCTCGGACGCTCTTGCTAGGCACCTGGCCGACGACCTCCTTAATGCCGCCGAAGGCGGTGCCCTTATGCTCCTTGCACAACTGACACTTGTCTTGGTCAGCTCGATTCCACCACCGATCCCCCGTCGACTGTGACCAGCAGTGTTTACAATACCATGGCTTTGCCCATGCCACCCGCTGCTTTTTGTGACCATTCTGGAACGGACGAGCATCCTGCCTGGCAGGAAGCGCCATGAGCCAGCCGTGGTGAAGAGCAGCTCGCGCAGGCGGGCACCTGCACGGCACAGCGCGCCGAGAAAGTTGAGTACACGAGACTCCCTGACTGGTGCTGCCAGGGGAAAGCTGGTGGGGCCGCTTGCGCCACTGTGGCGCCCCCAATGCCAGAAAACTCCGTCCGCTGCTGACGCCAGGGCCACGCTACGGACTTGAGCCAAAATGGCTACGGTCGGAGGCCGCGGAGAGGGCTGAGGCCCGCGCCGAGGAGGCGCGGCACGCCCCAGAAGGGGGAGACGGCTGTCCAGAGGAGGGCGGCAGGTTCCGGCAAGGGCGAGGACTGTCCCCTGCGAGTCGAGGGGCGCGCGAGCCAGCGCCGAAGGGGGCGCGAGCCTGCGGAGGGCAGGGGCGCGCCGTGCTGCGAGCAGGACAGGCCTCGGAGGAGGCGTGGCGAGGAGGGAGGGCCGACCTGCGAGGCGGCCGGGCCTTGGAAGCTCGGGCGCCCCGTGGGCACTGCGCGCGCGAGGGGCCCGCCACGCGTCGGGCCGCAGCTCGGCCGCGTGACGCCATCCTAGGCAGTCACAGACCGTCGTCGTCGTCGTCGTCGTCGTCGTCGTCGTCGTCGTCGTGCTCGTCGTCGCCGTCGTCCTCGTCGTCGTCGTCGTTGTGGTCTCGGTCGTGGTCGTGGTCGTCGTCCCCTGGCAGGGTCGGCGGCACCAGCCGTACGGCTTCGCAAGAAGCAAACAGGGGGCTTTTCTGGCCAAGGCGAAGCTCGGCCTCGAATAACGAGCCGTCGGATACAGGACCCAGGGTCTGTCAGCCGGCGGAACGCCAGCTGAGGCTTAGCAACGGATCTCACCGCCGCCTTCATCATACAGTCGGACTTGATCGGAGAGGACACGCGAGAGGACACAAGACCCTTCCGGGGCCACGTTGCCACAAGAACGTCGGAGGCATGGGCCGCGAGGCACAGGACACAAGGGTACCCTTGATCTGGCAAGGTCGACCTGCTAATCCGGGCCGCCTGCAGGGGATCCAGGGTCTGTCAGCCGGCGGAACACCCGCTGAGGCTTGGCAGCGGATCTCGCCGCCGCCTTCATCACACATAGGGAGTCGTCCTGGGTCTGAAGCCTCTGGAACTTGGTGGTCCCCAAACGTGGTGGTGAGAACACCCGGTGGTGAGTTTTGGGCGATTTGGGTAATGGTTTTCGAGCGCTGGCTGGCCCAGGAAACGTAAAACCTCGTGGCGACCGCGTGTCCCCAAACCCGGTGGTGACCCAGATTTATTTGTTTGGGGAATCGGGGTCACCACCGGGTGTCTCACCACCTGGTCTGGAGACCACCAAGGAACACATTCCTCCACGAACGCCCGCACCGTGCTGCAACGAATGCCGGGTAAAGGAGCGCTGGAGCAGGAGCGCACGGCAGCACGCCCTGCGATCATGACTCTCTGGGGGTGCAGCCTGCAGCGTCCCCGGGCCTCGTCAGGTGCCCCCGGGGCTCCGTGAGCCCATCGGGAGAGCAGACGTTCTGGTCGGGCACCAGTTGGCAAGCGAGCCTCTTGTTTGGGTGCCCCCACTAGTCAGTGGGCTACTGTTGGCAGTGAACCTTGAATGAGCATATCATGTCAACGACGAACCACGGCGACGGCCGACCCACAGCGACAAACGAGTCTGAGTCGAGGTCCGTCTGGGGCGCCGGGGAGGGCTCGGTCGGGGGTACATGCTGGTTCATTCGGGGGCTTCTTCGTGGTCTCGAAGTCTTTGGTTTTTGAAAGGTTTGGAGCCCGAGGTGGCACATTCGCCTGCAACCGCCCCTCCTATAGATATGTATATAGATATGTGCCCAACTAAAAGCGGAAGCTCCGTCTCCAGGGTGGAGGGTCGTAGAGGGGGAGGGGGGGGGGCCGCGTCCTCGAAACGCTCCCTCGTAGAATTTTTTCGAAGGCGTCAATCTTTTTCGTCGGTCGTCGTCGTTCGTCGCTGTTGGTCGGTCGGTCTGTCGTCGTCCGACCGTCGGTCGTCGGTCGTCGGTTGTCGGTCGTCGTCGTCGTCGTCGTCGTCGTCCTCGTCGTTCGGTCGTTGTTGGTCGGTCGGTCGGTCAGTCGTTGGTTGTTGCCGTCGTCGTTGTCCGTCGGTCGTCGCCGTCGGTCGACGTCGTCATCATCGTCGTCGTCGTCGTTGTCGTCGTCGTCATCGATCGGTCGGTCGTTAGGTATGTCGGCCGTCGTCGTTGTGATCGTTCGTGGTTGTCGTCGTCGGTCACTCGGTCGCTCGGCCGCTGGGTCGCTCGGTCATTCGTTCGGTCGATCGGTGGGTCGTCGTCGTCGTCGTCGTCGTTGCCATTCGTCGATCGTCGCCGTCGGTCGTTGTCTGGTCCTTCGGTCGGTCGGTCACCTGGTCGGTCGGGTGGTCGGGCGGATGTAACGGCTGTCGCATGAGTGGGCAGCTAGAGCGAACCACGCCTCCACCATTGCCTAAACCAACTATAGTAGTCATTAGAAGGACCCATCTCGACAAAATTATCACTAGTAAATGGGTCCACTGACTGTACCGTAGGTTCCCCGCCCTAGATGTAGGGGACGGCCCGAAAACCAGCGCACGCCTCCTGAGCCCGAAGTGGTCTTTTCAAACTAGTAGGTGAGCTGTCATATGTGATGGCCCTCGCGGGCCTGAGGAAAGAGCTGTTGCACGTCACGGCTCCCTTGGCCAGCCGAAGCTTTCCTTTATGATGAGAACTGCACCAGGTGAACGCCAAAACCATTGAATTCTCGGAGCCCTTCGCGGATCCCTAGGTTGCCCCCGAGACCGTCTCCAGGCACCTTGGCCGAACGTGCCGCAAGTTACTATATACTCTTTGCTATCAGTCCTCCTCCTGCCCTTTCCTCGCTTGACTCTCTACTCTCTTTTCTCTACGGTCTACTTTGTACTCTCTCTCTCTCTATTTCTTCGTTCTGGCCTGTAAATCTCTACACATTTTTCCTTAGCTCCATCTCTCTCTGTACTGTCGCTCTCTCTCTCTCTCTGTCTAGCTGTCCCTCGCTCCCCCATTCTCTGCTCCGCCTCCCTTTCTCTCTCTTTTTGTTTTCTCTTTCTCTTTCTTTATTCCCTACCTAGGCTCTGCCTAGAAGGTTTCTTACTCGGAGGCTTACAGGGCCGGGCAGTAGGGCCTGCCCCAGGCGGTTCCCCCGGCATCCGCCCCGCGGTTCCCCGTCCCCTCGGAGCTTTAGCTTTAGCTTTAGCTTTAGCTTTAGCTTAGCTTTAGCTTAGTTTTAGCTTAGCTTCAGCCTAGCTGTAGCTTAGCTTCAGCTTAGCTTTACCTTAGCTTTATCTTACGTTTAGTTTAACGTTAGCTTAGCTTTAGCTTAGCTTTACCTTATCTTTAGCTTAGCTTCACCTTAGCTTTACCTTAGCTTTAGCTTAGCGTTAGCTTAGCTTTAGCTTAGCCTAAGCTTAGCTTCAGCTTAGCTTCAGCTTATCTTCATCTTAGCTTTAGCTGAGCTTTAGCTTAGTTTTAGCTTAGCTTTAGCTTAAGTTTAGCTTAGCTTTAGCTTGAGTTTAGCTTAGCTTTAGCTTTACCTTAGCTTTAACTTAGCTTTACTGTTACTACTAATGCTGCTTTCCTAGGGGCTCCAACTCCTAGGTAGGGTCGCACTGGGATACTTTTTTTTTTCTCTCTCTCTCTCTCTATCTCTCTTCCTACTCGATGTACTCTATCTGCCCTCTCAAATCGATCTGATCTCTAAAATCGATTCACAGCCTCTTTCTGTCCCTACTCAACTCTGCTCACCACTCTCTGACATGTATCCTCTACTTTCTACCATCTCTCATTCGTCCGGTGGTCTGTACCAAGGTATTCGGTCGCAGCCAGAAGCTCGCGAACCCAGGAGCCTGGTACTGTCGGGAGCCCTGGGCCCGAAACCAGACCCAGCCGCCAGATGCCGGTCCCGAAGGGGGCCGCACCCCGACAGCCATGGGCGTGGCCGGCCTGCGTGCGCGCCCGGCAGGACGGCGGCGCGCCCTCCTCCTGGCCGCTCGCGCGGCGTGCCAGGCGCTCCTACCCCGGAGACGGCCGGGTGGGGGGAGACAACGAAAGGCACGCCCCGCCAGGGATTGCGCCAGCGCCGCGCCTGCGCCGCAGGCGACGCTGGGCGCACGGTGAGTCGCTGCGCCCCCCCCCCCCTCCTCCCCACCCCTTGCGCGCCGCGCGCACCTGCGCGGCCTCATCCACGAAACGGCCGTCGCGCACGGGCCCGCGCGCGCGTGGCGCGGCATCCCTGGCGGCCGCGCTTGTGGCCGCCGGCAAGATACCCCCGGAAACCCGCAGCACCCCAAAGGGCCTTGATGGGCCCACGGCCAAGGAACCCGTGAATCCGGCCACCTGCCGAAATCGGCCCTGCATTTTGGCCAAAACCCAAAACCAAACGCCTACTGAAAGCGGACCGGCACTCTCGCAAAATCCTTCGACATCCGCTGGGACCCTTCCTGTGCAAGCACTGATTGGGGACAAAAACGGAGTACACCTGTCTAAGCCCAGCGAAGAAGAGACCCAGAGACCTGACTTATCTTATGGCTTCCCCAGCCCTCGGGGAAAACAAGCTGACGCATGAGACGGCCTCCACCGAGCCATGGAAACGACCTGACACATGTTATGGCCTTCCGAGAGGGAGAGAAAGAGACAGAGAGAGAGAGAGTGAGAGAGAAGGAAAGAGTGAACGAGAGAGAGAAGGAGAGAACGACAGACACCGCATGGTACACTACGCATCGGACATACGTACGTTCTAACCTTTTCGGGCATCGGAACAGAAACTGACACATGTCGCTGTCGTCTCCAGTTTTGGAAGGAAGACGGTCAAGGATTATGACATGATAGCCAGCGTGGACCCTAAAAGGGTTTGTTCCAGAAAATGGTGTAGTGCAATATAGGCGGAGCAGCCTAGGTGGTGCATACAAATATTGCAGTCTAGGTTGTGCAATCAAGATTGCGCAACGTATGTGGCGCAACCTATGTGGTGCAATATTTGTTTGTGCACTCCATGTGTGCAATATCTGTTGTTCAGTCTGTGCGGTGCAATCTAAATATGTTGTGCAATATACGTGGTACAATCTAGATGGTGCAAGCTATGTGGTGCAATCTATGTTGTGCTGCGTGGCGGCGGCGACGGGAAGGGAAGGCGACGGCGACGACGCAGCCGCCAGACCGCCAGACAGGCCAAGACGACGGGCGGCGACGAGGCGGCGACGGCGACAACATAGCCGCCAGACCGCCAGACAGGCCAAGACGACGGGCGGGCGGCGACGAGGCGGCGACGGCGACAACATAGCCGCCAGACGTTTAGGCAGGCCCAGTCCGTAGAAGAGAAATAAAACACCCTAAGTGCAAGCACTGGCTCGGGAATCAATGTTGCTTGCGTTGCAACGTGCTGCGGCCTCCTTTCCTGTTTTTGTTCGCGAGCGTGCTGCACCAAGTATCTCGACTCTCGCGGTGTCAGTCCTCAACGGACGAAAGGTCAAATCTCAGTCATCCTATGGGGGGCGCCGTCGTACGGTGACCCGTCCTTCCCCAAACAGAGCTTGCACTTAGGGTTCTGACTTCTTTTCTGACGAACTGGGCTTGCGTCGCGGTCTGGCGTCTCCGTGGTCGGCATTGCCGCCCCGTCGCCGCCTCTTTGCCGCCAGTCGTCTTGGCCTGCGAGTCGGTCTGGCGGCTCCGTGGTCGACGTCGCCGCCCCGTCGCCGCCTCGTCGCCGCCCATCGTCTGGGCCTGCGAGGCGGTCTGACTGCTCGGTGGTCGCCGTCGCCGCCCTGCTGCACCGCCCCCGTTGCAATCGCATCGCGTCGAATTGGTGCGCGTTGCCTTGCAATGCATCGCTTCGTATCGCCTTGCATTGCTATTGCATAGTTTTGCACTGCGCTGCAATGCTTTCATTGCTTTGCGTTGCAATGGCATTGCATTTATTTGCATTGTGCTGCTTTGCACCACGTAGTTTGCACCACGCGGATAGCACCACATGGACTGCAATGCCTCGATTGCACATATCTATCGCAAGACACCAATGTTTGAGGTCCACGCTGGCTAACACCTGGGTCTTTGTGAAATAGGGGGCAAACAACTCTACCTCGCTTTTGACCACCCTCGCCTTCGAGAGATACCAGGCGATGCCAAACTGCGGCCTGTACTGGACAGGCCGCTTGACGAGGAGGCGCGTGGTATGACTTGGCTTTGCCTGGAAGCGACAGCGGGGTAGGTGGTTCACGCTCTGGTGAAAGTGCCACGCTTCCGCGCGCGGGCAGGGACACAGCGCAAGCGAGGCAGGGGTGCTGGCCACCTGGTGCTGTCCCACCCGAGACTGGCCATCGCTCGGACGTCCATTTCCTGTGCTTTTTTCGGTTTCGTGCGTGGTGTTTTCGCGAAATGATCAAGGATGCTCCTCGATAGTCCTCGCCGAGGAAAAAACGCACACGTCCGAGCGATGCCAAGGAGGGGAAAGTCGTGCGCGGCGTCGGCAGGCCCAGCGCGTGTGCAGACCTGCCGCGCTGCGGCGCCCGGGCCCGCCCACGTCGGCGGGCTCGCGCCTAATAAGCTGCTGCGCTCCGCCTGCCCGTTCTTGTTCCCCCGGAGGGCCGACGTCAGCACTGTAGATGGCGATGTGTGGGTCCAACCTCGCTTCCCCCAGCCTGCCCGAGCAGCGACAGCGTCTCTGGTCACCGCCCGCCATCTTGCCGTCGCCCGGACGTCCGTTTCCCGTGCATGTCTCGGTTCGGTGCCGTGACGTCCGAGCGATGCCAAGCCAGAGGGCCGACGCCAGCACTGTAGATGGCGATGTGTGAGTCCTGCCTCGCTTCCCACCATCTGACTGAGTAGCGACAGCGTCCACCACCCGCTCTTCTCGTGCGAACTGGTGCCTGCAACGTGTATGACGCCCACTTCCTTCTCGCACGCGCCGAGGCTGGCCGTGTAGTTGATGGCCTTGGTCATATACTGAAGGCTTGTCGGCGTGTCTTTCGAGTAGGAGGTCGACTTCATGATTGCCCAGAATGAGACTTTTCGTCGAATCTGCGACAGACACGTAGATTGAACGCAGATCTGCGACCATTTTACGTCGTAGTTTCGATGGAAACAGATCAATTTGTGGTGCAAATCGATTATGCAATCAATCCCCTACTCGAATCTTACACTATCTTTGGGGCGTCTGGAGACGTCGTGGGGCAATTCTGAAGGCCCGAAGAAGCCATCCGGGGCAGCATCATCGCTCTTTGGAGGGACCTGTGGGCTCTCGTGTGGCCTCTCTGGGCCAGCTTCGAGTGCCTTGGGCCTCGCAAAGCCCCTCGACCCCTCAAGGACGTCTGGATGCTGGCCGGACAGGTCTTGGAGCTGCCTAGACCTAGACATGCTTTGGGGCAATCTTGGAGGCTAGCTTGGGCCATCCTCGGTTTTCAGGGGGATGTCTTGGGGGCTCCTCGGTGCCCTCTTGAGAGCCTCGGGGGCCCTCCGTGGAGCCCCCCGAGGCAAGAACATAAGGGAGCGGCGCAGAAATATACCAAAAACCGAATGTGAATTCAATCGTCGCCTGTCGGGGGCCCTCAGCGCAGGGCCAGCTCAGAGCCTCTTGGGGCCATCTCGGCGCCACCTTGGAGGCCTGTGGGCCGTCGTGGACGTCGCCAGGAAGCTATCTAGGGCCGCGTGAGGCTATCTTGGGCGCGTCACGGGTCTCTCTGCGGTCTTGAGGACGGCAAACACGCTGCTGTTGCTGCTGCGTGACATTGGGACAAATGGCTCTCAAGTACTCTTCGCGCGCACGGGGTCGTGAATTGTAGAACGGATGACATTGGCCTCCATCATCGCTTCCGACATCTCCCTGAACCCCGACAACGCCTGCTGCGGCGTCTTGCCAGTCTCGCACTCGCTGGTCCCACCAATGTGACTGAACCTGCTTAATCCTTCCTGCGCATCGCAATCATGAGATTATCAATGAAACTACCGCCGCGGGACTCGAGCTTCGTATCCCGCGTCTCGGTCATCAGCCAAATCGCCTGTGGCGCTTGTCCGCCTCTCTCGCAAGCCCTGACCGCAGCTGAGTAGCTGATGACGTCGGGCGCCAACTTCACCTCCGAGATCTCGTCGAACAGCGTAAGGGCCCTCTGCCACTGCTGGGCTTTCTCGCATGCGGAGATCCCGGCGCAGTAGCTGACAATGTTGAGTTCCAGTTTCACTTGGCGCATCTCGCTGAGCAGCGCCAGCGCCCAATGCCACTGCCCTCCCTTCTCGCACGCGCTGGTCGCAGCGTTGTAGCTTACTCTAACAAACCCAGTGTCCTAAGTCGAACTTTCGCGGTCTATCCTATCTTCAGACCTGCGCTCGGACCGCACTCATGCAGGCCTGTGCGAACTCAAGTATGCATGATAATAGGGATGGTGGTGGTGGTGCTGCTGATGATAATGGTGATGGTGATGCTGCTGATAATGATGCTGAAGATGAGGACGATGCTGGTGATGATGACGATGACGATGACGATGACAATGATGATGATGATGATGATGATGATGATGATGATGATGATGCTGCTGATGCTGATACGGATGATGGTGGTGGTGGCATGGATAATAATGGTGTTGAGATGGATTGCGGTAGTGATAGGATGATGCTGGTGATGAAGCTTGGGGTGGCCAAGTGACGAAGCGGATCGTGACATGGATGATGATGCTGATGCTGATGCTGCTGATGATGATGGTGATGATGATGGTGATGACGAACTTGATTGTGGTTGTGGTGATGGATAATGATGATGGCAGGCAAAGAAGGCAGACTGACCATCGGCATACGAGTAGCACTGACGAAACACACCAAACACACCACCAGGCGCGCCAGGCACAACCACCGGGCACACTAGGCACAGCAGGCAAACCGACCAGGCACACCAGGCACACCGACCAGGCACAGGAGTCACATCGACCAGGCACACCAATCGCACCGACCATGCACGCCATGCGCGCCGACCGGGCGCGCCAGGTACACCGACCAGGCGCGCCAGGCGCACCAGGCAAACCGACCAAGCACGCCAGGCACGCCGACCAGGCACGCCATGCACACCGACCACAC